ATAAATAAAAAATTATTAAAAAAAAAAAATTTTCGGTTTCGGGCCTGACAATTTTTTTTAATTTCGGTTTCGGTTTTGAAATTTCCATATCGGTGCACCTCTAATGTAGAAGCATTTTGTTTACATGTATTTCTACGGTGCGTTCTTATGTAGCGATCTGTAGAAGACTCGGCAAACCCTTCTGAATTCTCACACCTCTTACAGTAAACAATCCTTTCCATAAGAGGAAATCTCACTTGTTTTTCTCTAAGTGCTTTTTTTTTCATGGCAGCAGAAACCCGGACACAAGATGTCAGGCAGACAGGGGAAACCAAAATTAAGATAGGGGCTACTGGTCCCCCCACTGAAAATAGTCTCAGCTGTGATATTTACATATGAATGTGTGGCGCTATTTACATATGAATAAGCCGCGACTCATTCTCCCCCCAAACAATGATCGCCCGTCGCTAGAGTGTTCGGGTTTCGCTTGAAGAAAAGGTGGCAACCCTACTCCAGAGAGAGCAAATTCAGTTCAGCAAATATTTCCTCATAGCCGAGCTCCTCTGTGGCCTATCATCGGTTTAGTTGCCCTTCTCTGCTCCCTCCCTCTAGTTCCACATCCTCCTTTTTGTGAACTGGAGCCCATAACTGAACCGCATATTCCAGATGAGGTCTTGCTCATGCTTTATATAAGAGGCGTTTGTTTTTCTTTCTCTGTATTCTAATTCTCCTTAACCACCTGAGCTTTACAACAGCACGCGGAGAGTCCAGAACTAAGCCCCGGGGCGGGAACAATCAGCAGAAAAGCCGCACAGCCGCGCCAAGGCACCTCCATATAGTGCGGTCCTAACTCTAAACTATGAGAGTCTCCATCTTGGAGCACATGTGGCAGGAGATTATATGGAGGTGCCTTGGCGCGGCTGTGCGGCTTTCACATTTTCTGCAGAAGACGTGTATCTAAACCTCTGGTTTTAACCTTAGTGGTGAGACAGGTTTTTTTGCATGCTGGCTGAGTGTGCTGGGAAACTTTTTTTCTGTTTTAGGCCCCATTCACACTGAGCGACATGAAAATCGCGCGATATTGAGCGACTTGTTCCTATTGGGCTGTATGCAATCAGGAGCAATATCGCTCAAAATCGCTCGAAAAAAGGGTCATGTAGGAGCGACAAGCTACCAGCGATATTGAGCGGCGGGATGTGAACAGCTCCATTGAAATGGATTGGAGAAGCCACATAGAGCGATATCGCGCGGAAATATGAGCGCTATCGCTGCTAAAATCACTCCATAAATCGCTCAGTGTGAATGGGGCCTTACTGTTTGAAGCCTTTCCATGTGCACCGCGCTGTAAAGCTGGTAACGAATTGATGAGTGCGTTTGTCATTTGTTTTGCTCGCATAGCACACCTGAGACCCCACACGGCCACCTGAGAGCCGCTTCGCCTTCCTATGAGTGCGCGTAGCACACCTGAGACTTCACACAGCCACCTGAGAGCCGCTTAGCCTGCCTGTGAGTGCGCGTAGCACACCTGAGACCCCACACAGCCACCTGAGAGCCGCTTAGCCTGCCTGTGAGTGCGCGTAGCACACCTGAAACCCCACACAGCCACCTGAGAGCCGCTTAGCCTGCCTGTGAGTGCGCGTAGCACACCTGAGACTCCACACGGCCACCTGAGAGCCGCTTAGCTTACCTGTGAGTGCGCGTAGCACACCTGAGACTCCACACAGCCACCTGAGAGCCGCTTAGCCTGCCTGTGAGTGCGTGTAGCACACCTGAGACCCCACACAGCCACCTGAGAGCCGCTTCGCCTGCCTGTGAGTGCGTGTAGCACACCTGAGACCCCACACAGCCACCTGAGAGCCGCTTCGCCTGCCTGTGAGTGCGTGTAGCACACCTGAGACCCCACACAGCCACCTGAGAGCCGCTTCGCCTGCCTGTGAGTGCGTGTAGCACACCTGAGACCCCACACAGCCACCTGAGAGCCGCTTCGCCTGCCTGTGAGTGCGTGTAGCACACCTGAGACCCCACACAGCCACCTGAGAGCCGCTTCGCCTGCCTGTGAGTGCGTGTAGCACACCTGAGACCCCACACAGCCACCTGAGAGCCGCTTCGCCTGCCTGTGAGTGCGTGTAGCACACCTGAGACCCCACACAGCCACCTGAGAGCCGCTTCGCCTGCCTGTGAGTGCGTGTAGCACACCTGAGACCCCACACAGCCACCTGAGAGCCGCTTCGCCTGCCTGTGAGTGCGTGTAGCACACCTGAGACCCCACACAGCCACCTGAGAGCCGCTTCGCCTGCCTGTGAGTGCGTGTAGCACACCTGAGACCCCACACAGCCACCTGAGAGCCGCTTCGCCTGCCTGTGAGTGCGTGTAGCACACCTGAGACCCCACACAGCCACCTGAGAGCCGCTTCGCCTGCCTGTGAGTGCGTGTAGCACACCTGAGACCCCACACAGCCACCTGAGAGCCGCTTCGCCTGCCTGTGAGTGCGTGTAGCACACCTGAGACCCCACACAGCCACCTGAGAGCCGCTTCGCCTGCCTGTGAGTGCGCGTAGCACACCTGAGACTCCACACAGCCACCTGAGAGCCGCTTAGCCTCCCTGTGAGTGCGCGTAGCACACCTGAGACACCACACAGCCACCTGAGAGCCGCTTAGCCTGCCTGTGAGTGCGCGTAGCACACCTGAGACCCCACACAGCCACCTGAGAGTCCGCATAGCACACCTGAGACCCCACACAGCCACCTGAGGGTCCGCATAGCCCACCTGAGACACCACACAGCCACCTGAGAGCCTGGGACATTCGGGCGCCACCCCTGAACAACACGGAGTATGTAGCTTTATATTATTTTGTTTTGCTGTATAATGTATTGCTGGGATTTGTAGTCCTCTATAGCCGGTCTCCTTACTC